GTTAATTAGCTGTTTCCTATGTGTGTAACAACTACTGATTAGACTATGATAATGAAAACGTAACAGAGACAGCAGGTGTTTTATTGTGTTTTATTATATAAGTAAATTGTATGAGCTTTTCACGCACGAGGAACTTAATTTTTAAAAAGAATAATATTATACAACGTGCCATTGTTAGGTGTGCAATGTCGCTTCCACGAAGCTCCCTAGTCTGTGGGGGTGTCTATGTGAGTGGGTGAATGAGTGAGTGTATAGCGGGAACGGGGGGGGGGGTGGTAGACCAACTGTATATCAGCAGAGAGTGTCACCGTCGTATTAGATCAATGACACACCTGAACATCAATGTGTAGATGAATATATTATTATGTAGATGTGCGTGCTGCTCGGCCTGTCGCTTTGACACACGAGCCAGGTGTGAATGGGGAACGAGCGGGGGCGGTTTGTGGTTATAATTGTTTTGTTTTGTTTAGTTTTTTGATTGAGTTTTTTTTTTATACCGTATCTCCGTCTGTCGACTGGGATGTCGTATGTCTCTCAACTGGGGCTGGCCCTGGCAGGCAGGCAGGATCGAAGCAGTCCACCTGTTTCATTGTCTAAACTGTGTCGATAGAGTTAAACCATTCAAATTATGTACTATTATTATATATATATGTACCTCCTTCCTTTCCTTGATTTTTACCCTCGCACTGACAATTTAATGTTTCGGGCGCGACTGGTTGGTTTTACTTCTTTCTATCCCTCTGTTGTTTCCGTCTGTCTGCCTGTCCTGCTCTTTTCTAGTGCAAGCAATCGTGATCTCGTCGATGTGCTTTTAATAAAAATTAAACTCGAAGACAAAGTCCTGGAGTGGGGGTTGCGTTTTGGTGACTTTAGAATTGCTGTCGGGGCGGAGAAAGAGATTATTGGTTGGCGGGTGCTGTAGTGTGCTTTGCTACTTTTTTTTCTATAAAAAAAGATGTCGTTCTTGTCTGTAGTCCTTCTTTCTTTGGTGTGTGTGTGTTATCGTTACTCTCTTGTGACACCTTTAATCTTCGGCAATCATAGGACTTTTAGTGTTGCAAGTGCCGTAAAACTCTTACGTGGGTGGTTGATGGGTAATCTGGTATGGTTTGCCCCTTTCCGTCCTATCAAACATCTATCCTCCTTATCTCTCCTCCTTTTTGTGTTTCTCTCCTGCAACACCTCTAATCTTCGGCACTTACATGATCTTACTGTGTTGCAAGTGTCGTAAAATTATTACTCAAACTTAACAAAGGAGAAAGAAAGGGTTAAAAGAAAGTGCTGGCGTTGTCTTGTACACGCAATTCCACTTAGCCGTGTATGTGTGCCACGTTACCTGCGCCAGGCTCTGTGCCACGTTACCTGGCCCTTCTTGTAGGTTGTTTAAAGTACAGGTTGTCCCTCCAGGGGAGAGCCGAAACGTCTGAGGTAAAGCCGCAGCTCGTAACACGTTTAGCGGTTACTTAAAGAGAGGGGGAGAGAGATAGATAGATAGATAGAGAGAGAGAGAGAGAGAGAGAGAGAGAGAGAGAGAGAGAAGAAGAAGAAGAAGAAGAAGAAGAAGAAGAAGAAGAAGAAGAAGAAGAAGAAGA